GCCTGCATGCACACTGAGAGTACAGAGGTGAGTAAGGTTATCGTATAGTGGCCAGAGGCTTCAAGGCTAGGGCACATCGGCAGGTGCAGAAAAATCACATCAAGTGTGAGTGTGCAAGCAACACAGGGGACACAAGGGAAGGTCTGATTCCAGCTGGAAAATGTAAAGAAGATATTCTTATCTCATGGTGAAAGAGCAATTCATATATTTAAAACTTAAAGAAAAATTCATGAATTTTCAAATCTACAATGAGGCTAAAGTGAGGTCATGATGCAGATTCCCAAGCAAGACCTAGGGAGACTCTTACACTGAAGCCTAATACTTACCAGTACTAAATTTGTTAAATATTAAATCCAATATTTAGGACAAAGAAAGAGTATACCCTGATCTATAAAAACTGATTTGGGATGGCAGACAATTAGAAGATTGACACCCCTTTCTGACCACAATTTTTTTTCAACCACAATTTTTAAGAGGAGTCCATTTGTCAATGTGTGCTATTGCAGTATAGGTTGAGAAGATGAGAAAAGACATAATAAATGAGCCTCATTTTGCTCTGCCCAAAGCTGATTAGAAGAGTAAGTATAGCTGTTTTTATCAGAAGAGCCACTCTGATAAGAATGATGTTGGAACTGTGAAAGCCATGGCAACAGGCAGGAAGTGCTGCCATTTTATTTCAACACAGTGAATATTAGAATATATACATGTAAATAAAATATTAGGACAAAAGGGAAAAAGTACCATAAGAAATATAAATAAAGGTGAAAATATTTAGCATCAAGAAAGGAAAGGTAGGAACAAGTTAACTTTGACTCTAACATGAATTATGACAAAGGGAGATGGATGAAAATACTCAATGAATATAAAGTCGGTCTAATTAAAGCATAAGACCTTAAAAGTATCCTTTTATGGTAACAATTCTCAATAAATACTTAATAAAGGCCACATATGACAAGCCCACAGCTAATAATATACTCAACAGTGAAAGGTCAAAAACTCTTCCTCTGAGATCAGGAACAAGACAAGGGTGCCAATTCTCACCACTCCTATTCAACATAGTACTAGAAGTCCTAGCTAGAAAAATTAGGAAAGAAAAAGAAATAAAAGGCATCCAAATAAGAAAGGAAGAAGTATAATTGTTTTTGTTGGTAGGTTGCATGATCTTATATATTGAACACCTAGAAGACTCCACCAAAAAGCTCTTAAAAGTAATAAACAGATTCAGCAAAGTTGCAGGATTCAAAATACAAAAACCTGTTGTATTTCTCTACATTAATAATGAACCATCTGAAAAAGAAATAAAGGAAACAATCCCATTTACAATAGCATTGAATACATTAAAAACTTAGGAATAAACTTAACCAGGTTGGTGAAAGATCTATTCCTAGAAAACTATAAGACTTCAATGAATGATATTGAAAAAGACACAAGTAAATGGAAAGATATCCCATGGATTAGAAAAATAAATATTATTAAAATGTCTGTACTACCCAAAGCCATCTGTAGATTTAGTGCAATCCCTATCAAAATTCCAAAGGCATTTTTTATAGAAATAGGGAAAAAAATAGTCTCAAAATTCATATGGAGCCACAAAAGACCCCAAATAGTCAAATTAGGCTTGAGCAAGAAGTAGAAAGCTGAAAGCATCACACTTCCTGGTTTCAAATTATATTACAAATCTAGTAATCTAAAGACAATTATCATATGATCTCTCTGATATGAGGAAGCTGGGAGGCAACATGGGAGGTTTGGGGAGTAGGAAAGGAATAAATGAAACAAGATGGGATGGGGAAGGAGACAAACCACAAGAGACTCTCAGTCTCACAAAACAAACTGAGGGTGGCCGGGTGGAGGGGGCTAGGGAGAGGGTGGTTGGGTTATGGACATTGGGGAAGGTATGTGCTATGGTGAGTGCTGTGAAGTGTGTAAACCTGGCAATTCACAGACCTGTACCACTGGGGCTAATAATATATTATATGTTAATAAAAAAGAAAAAATTATATAACAAATATAGTAATCTAGTAGTAATCAAGACAGTCTAGTATTGGCACAAAAAACAGACACAAAGACCAATGGAACAGAACAGAGAGTCTAGAAATAAGCCCACACGTATATAGGTAAGTAATATTTGACAAGGGAGCCAAGAACACTCAATAGGAGAAGGATTGTTTCTTCAATAAATAGTGCTGGGAAATTGGGAATTTACATGCAAAAAAATGAAATTGAACCCCATCATACACCACTCACAAAAATTAACTCAAAATGGGTTAATGACTTAAATGTAGAGGTGCCTGAGTGGCATGGTTGGTTGAGTATCCAACTCTTGGTTTCAGATCTGCTAGTGATCTCAGGGTCACGGGATTGGCCCTGCATTGGTTCTGTGCTTATCACAGAGTCTGCTTGGGCTTCTTTCTCCCTCTCCCTCCACTCCTCTCTCTCTTCCTCTCTCAAGTAGGTAAACAAATCCTTTCTAAAAGGACTTAAATGTAATATCTGAAATGGTGAAACTCCTAGAAGGGCACACTATACAAGCCAGGCCAAGGAGTCCTTCCCTGTGATTTGATTTGATTTGATATGATTTGATTTTTTAGATTTTATTTATTTCTTTGAGAGAGAGAGCAGGAGAGGGGAGAAGGTCAGAGCAAGAAGCAGACTCTCCGCAGAGCTGGAAGCCTGATGTGGGACTCGATTCCAGGTCTCCGGGATCATGACCCAAGCTGAAGGCAGTGGCTTAACCCACTGAGCCACCCAGGTGTCCCATTTTTTTGTTCTTGTTGTTAGATTTCCTTCCCTCTGATTTTGATTTTCAACCTTGAAGCAAGGTGTTTCTTCCCTTTTGTGTCCTTATTTTGGAATGAGGTTAAGTCCAAAAGTGCCTAAGGTGCACTCCCTGCCAGTATTGAAGGTTCAGCTGAGAGGGTTCAGATACGCCATGAGTGGATGGTGACCACCTGTGCCTCACAGTGCAGGAAGAGGCCCTCAAAGGAAGTTGGTGGGAGCTTCCTAGGGTAACTGTACTTCTAACAACTTCTCAGATGTTTGACTGTCAGCCAGTGCTTCTCTGAGGAACCATGGAAGACCAGGGAAGCTGGACAGAAGCATCCTTTGCATGCTGTCCTCTGAGCTAAGTAAACAGTGTAACTGCCCTCCCCCACCCACCCACACACACACAACCTGTGAGCTGTATGGAAGCTCAGTGCGTAGCAATGAATCCAATACACTGTAGTGGTACATTCAGGACATAGCATCACCTGAAACAGAAAAAAATGAGACAAGCAACAGAGAGAAGCAGAGATGAGAGCTGAGAAAGAAAGAACTTTTGGTAGCATTTCAGCATCTGGACCCTGTCATCCATGACGCCTGGTCCAACCCTACTTTCCTCAGTTATATGAACCAATAAATGCTCTTAAGTTGGATATTATTCTGTTTCAAATGAAAGTGACCCAATGCAGAAACTGGAACCAGGAGGGACAGACCTAAATGTAGAACTGCTTGGGTCAAGATAAGGAAGGTAACAGTGGAAGTCTACCTATCTTTGGCTGAAAAGCTGAAATCCTTGCTATATGGAAGTGAAGCAGTAGGCCAAACTGTTATCTAGTATTTTGTGACTTAGGGAAATCCGCACCACCCTAAAAATAGGAACTTTATAGACTTGGTAAAGGCATCAGGATATTGGGGTGAGAAAGCCAGATGACCCAGAACCTTCCCAAACACCTCCATCCTAACAAGGGTCATATCCTTCCCTGTTACCAGCTTTGGATGAATCCTGGGGATGAAGGCAACACCTCATTCTTTCACTTTTCTAAGAGACAGAGACCAAGATGATGTTAATCTGAAGCCCAGGCAATTATTGCCTAGGACGGAAATCACAAGGGTGGGAACCCAAATTCAAAGATACTGATTTAACAAGATTTTTGGCCGTTGTTACTACCCAATGAGGCAACCCAAATTGATATAATCAGACCAGCCACCAAGGTTTCAAGCCAAGTGTATTGCCCCCTGGGCACACAGATTTGTGATTGTTCATTTCTTAAGACAGCCTTCCAAGCCCTTAGGGCAGACAGTGGGTTGCTAAAGCAATAGAGACCCCATCAGTTGAAGTCTCCTGACCAACATTTCAGGTACCATGATGACACCGATGGACACCAATGGAAATACTCCCAGTAAGAAGGCTCAGGAGCATCCAGACAGGCTGAATAAGGAACCCACTGCATGTCAAGAGAAGGGAGCTGACAGAGATAGAAGGCTGGAGGATGCTGCTTCCTTCTCTGTAACCCATTTCTAGGTGGTTCAGCCTCGCTCTCTTTTTTCCCTACTGACCTCCCTTCTCCATAAGAGGTGATCATCATTTATTTAAGTTTATCACATTTATTATTTATTTTTAATTGTGTTATGTTAGTCACCATACAGTACATCATTAGTTTTTGATGTAGTGTTTCATGATTCATTGTTTGCATATAATGCCCAGTGCTCCATGCAATCCGTACTCTCCTTAATACCCATCACCAGGCTAACCCATCCCCCTCCACTCCCTTCTAAAACCCTCTATTAGTCTCCCGGAGTCCATAGTCTCTTATGGTTTTTCTCCCACTCCGACTTCTCCCCCTTCACTTTTCCGTTCTCCTAATGTCCTCCACGCTATTCCTTCTGTTCCACAAATAAGTGAAACCATATGCTAATTGACCTCCTTCGAAGGAGGTTATGCTTAGTGAAGTAAGTCACAAAGAGGCCACCATCTTATTTCTAGCCTTGGGCACGTCTATCCTATGCTTAACAACCACTCAGCCACATTGTAACTATAACACACAACACACAGCAAACGACAGGTCCCTAGTTAGTCACACAGGGGCCATTTCTTTATTCTCCAGTTTTTCCATTTCTCCCAGTTCTCCAGTTGTTGAAAGGGCCTGGCAAAAGACCATAGCCACCTATGAAAAAGGGCTGCCACTTGAAGTAAGTATAACACAGAGATGGACATGAAACAAACAAACAAAAAAGACTTTATGTAACATTTATTTATTTTTTTAATCTCATCCTAATTTTGGCTTTATTCCTCATCTCCCACTCTCATTCTTTTCTTGGAAATCCAAACTTGTTTGTTTGTTTTCTTAACAAAATGTTTAAAATCATCATCATCTAGAGTCATAACAAAATTTCTTCTCTCCAAATGGGGGAAAACACAGCTCGTATTCTTATGCTGCATCTTCAAATATGCACGTTAATATATATTTTATAAACTATTTATAATAAAACCCTTCATCCTTTGAGGTTATTGATATTTTCTAGCACACTGACACATCTCCCATAATACATTAATTCTACCCATTTTCATGAATGAGGTGGGAACTATACTAAAAAATAGGATTTTAATCCCTGAGGTGCCAGTTAAAATGGACAAGGTTGCTATTGCAACACGAGATTTAAAAATCAGCCTTAAATAATAATCATAAATCACGCTATCTGGATGAGTACCACCTCCATAGCATGGAGTCATTTTAAAAATTGCATTTACTGGGTTAAGTTCACACTGCTTTTCCTAGCCTTCATGCCATGATAATCTTCCTTTTGTAAAGGAATAACACATAGCACTGAAGTCTGCAGAAACTTCTGAGATCCTCAGAAATCAAGAGAAACCACAGTCCCGTTTCTCTAATCTCCATCCACATTTCTGGAGAGGGTTTTTCAGCACCATTCCACGACCTGGAAAGGTTGATAAACTGACTCGGTTTTTCTACTTCTCCGTTAATTTAGTCGAAAAGGAAAGCTCAGGTCTCCTGGCTAGAAAACGGGCATGTCCTGCTTCTCTCTGCCCCCAGGACTTCAGCAGAACTGCGTTCGGCTCTATGCCCACCCTCCCTGCGGACTCTGGCCCTCGCCGGCGGCTTCCTACCCCGCGCGGGCTTCGGCTCCCACCACTAATAGTAGCGGTTCAAGCTCCTGGTCCCCGGAACCTCGGGCTGGCCATTCATCCAGATCTCCCTGATGATGCGCTCCCGCTCCTCCAACCGCTGCGCGCGCTCCAGCTCCTCCGCCGAGGTGAACACGTTCTTGTTCAAAGTCCTTTCGAAGCGGCGGTGTCTCCTGACCGAGATGTCAGACGCCGTGTCCGAGCTGCCATCCTCGCTGTCGCTGCTGTCGCTGCTGCTCTCTCGGTCCTGCAGGAACTTCTTCCGGGGACGCTGCCGGCAGTCCGTGTGGCAAGAGATCCTCATCACCAAGGCGGCCAGGGTGAGCACCAGCCCGATGCAGACGCCCGAGACAAAGTACAGAGCTGCTCGCTCGGGATTTTCTGCAGAAGGAGGAAGAAGAGGCATTTGAGAGATGACGACTCGAGATGCAGAGAGCACCCAGGGCTCCCGGCCGCCTTGCACAGCTCTCATCACACCTCAGAGCTCGGATGGTTACAAATACTGCCTTCCCATGGGACAAACTATATAATGGATTCAAAACATAATTATCAACAGATGGTATAGGGCGTGTGAAATCATTCTCCTATATTCTTGCAACTTTAAATTTGAAATAATTTCAGAATGAAAAGATAAAAGAAAGAAAAGTATTATTTAGGATGTAGTATAAGCAAGCAACAGTCCTTAGATGTCATTTGCTTAGGAGGTGTGTATGTGTTTAAAACCTATTTTTGCCAATAGGGAAAGATCCTTGGCTTCTGAATTTGCTCCTGCAACCCCTGAAGAAACTTTTAATCACAGATTAATCACAGCTTTTGGGGGGGCAAAAAATTTATGGGTAAAATCAAGGATCAATGCCTCCTTTATTGTAACTATACCATCACAGGCCCAAGTCAACACATGTAGTTAGCTCCTGAGACGCCCCCCACTTCTTAGTATTCCAACTCTTACCCAAGCCCTTCCTTTGAAGGCTGGACCTACTGGGCTGGACCCCACGATCTATTTCTAAAAAACAGAATATGACAAAATTGATGGATGAGTCTAAGATTAGGTTACATAAGACCGACTTTCAACTTGCTTATGCGTTCTCTCTGGCTTTTTCTCACTCCCTTGCTCTGATGAGGCCAGCTGCCATGTTCTGAGCTGTTCTACAGAAGGGCCCACATGGCAAGGAACAAAAAGTAGCCTCTGGCTAACTACCTGCAAAGAAACGGACCACGCCAATAGCCATGTGCAGGAGTTTGGCAGGGAAGCGCGCCCTCCTGGTGCAGGCCTGGCCTGACCCACACAAACAAGATAAGAAATGTGTGTTGTTTTGAGTCACTACGTTTTGAGGTAATCTGCTGTGCAGCAATTGATAACTTATACGATCACAGTTGGAAAACCAGTGTTGGTATTTTGTGATGGCCTCATCCGGTGACTTTGTGGGGGAGAAATCTGCGGTTTTCTTTGGTAAGAAAAGAAAATAATCATTCTATTAATGTGCAGTATGCTTCGTGGGCCCAGTGAGGATCCCTCTCTGATGTGTTCCACAGGATGAGAGCCTTTGGGTGAACAGCCGTCCCTTTGTGGGTAAGTATAAGAATATAGGGGCATGCCTGGCCGTGGGTCCCAGCGCATGGTCAATCTGACAGGACTCAAATTAGTTTTTCAGCAAATTAGTTTTCCATAATCTCTATTCACTGGTTAGTATGACTCAAAACATATATTGTTTTGTGGGTTTTTAAAGAATATAAGTGGGATTATATATAATAACCCTTTTTAAAATGTAAGAATATTTCTTAGAGAGATTTCCAGATATGCCAACAGCACTCTTTTTGACTGTTGCATAGACTTCTGTAGTATAGACATATCAAAGTTTACTTAACTATTTCCTTATTACTATCACATAAATGGTTTATAATTTTTCAATATGATGAGCAATGCTAACGTCAAGATGATTGTATCCTTGTACACATCTCTTTATATACGTGTAGAATTATTTCTTCCGATTAGTTATCTAGAAATAGGGCAACTGCATCAAAGAGCATAGGCATTTTGAAGTTTCATGCATTCTAAATTGTACCCCAAAAAGGTTCTATCAGCCTAAACACAGCATATTGAATGCATGTGTTTATGATACCTCCTTCCCTCTGAAACTCCTGCCAAAGTGACAGTGATATGAATACAACAGACATAAATTATAGGTAGAAAGAGGAGAGGCGAGAAGAAAATAGAAGACACTAATAGCAGATATGAGTAGTCAATAAACAATGTAAATGTGGTGAAAGCGGGGTGACATCAATATCATGGTGGTGTAAGATATCCCAACTTTTGGTGTCCCTTTTTTTAGCAGCTAATTAAGCATCCATCTACCAAAAAAAAAAGTGCCTCTGTGGGAGTCTTCTAATCCAAAAGCATAAGCCAAGAAGCTCAGAAAGAGTCTCACCCAACCGCCTACCAGGTCATCCAGTAATAGACAGACCACAGACAGACTTCAGTTAGGACTGTGAAACTAGCAACCACAACTCTGATCCTTCCCAGCTGTGTTTGGGGAAAATCTTGGTAAGTGTTGACCTGGGCAAATACCCATGGATGAAACAGAATTCCAGCACATCACTGAAGGAAACAAACAAACAAAACAAGTTTGAAGGAACTTTTCCAACAGTGTCCCTCCCCGCCAAATTGACATAGCACAGAACTGAACTATCCCATGGCACCACTCTGTGGGGGGAAAGGAGAGCAGTATGTGAGTGCCTGGCTACCCTAGCTCTGCTGGATGCTGCATGGGAAACCCATTTCTCTCCAGCAACACACAGAGTACTAAAGCGGGACCTCCATGACTGAGGGGAGGGAAGAAATTGGGAAAGTGATAAGTAAGAATATCAGAGGATTATAAAGGGACATGGTTCGTGCTGACTGAGCTCAGGATGTCTGGAGAAAGTCCCACAAGCCTCTGGGAGAACCTCAGCCAAGGATCTTCCTACCAGGCCGACATCCTTAATACCCCAAGCGCTAAACCCATACCTTCCCTCACTTCCCTTACTCTATCTCCAAGATTGGCCTCAAAAGTCCGGTAAACTGGAATGCTATCAGAAAAACAGACCTGACTCTGTGGCCAAGAGAGAAACCACAAACTTGAACTGTAGCACCACCTTCTGGAAAAACAAAAGAGAGGTTTCCAGGAGCCAGCCAGGTGAGCTGTAAGATCCAGAGAAGACATAAAAGCTTAAGAATTCTGCCACAAGAGGGAGCAAGAAATGTGGAGCAGGTGTATAAAAACAAGGTCTGAGAGAACCCCATATACAATAGGACCAACAAACAATATACCCCATCCGAAAGCAACTAGTGAAGAGTTAGGGAGGTATCTTTTACTTCAAAAGCAAAGCAGCAACACAAAATTACAAGGAACATGAAGAATTAAGAAAATGTGTCATCCATGAACAGACATTTCTGCAAAGAAGACACCCAGATGGCCAACAGACACATGAAAAAGTGCTCCACATCACTTGGCATCAGGGAAATACAAATCAAAACCACAATGAGATATCACCTCACACCAGTCAGAATGGCTAAAATTAACAAGTCAGGAAACAACAGATGCTGGTGAGGATGCAGAGAAAGGGGAACCCTCCTACACTGTTGGTAGGAATGCAAGCTGGTGCAGCCACTCTGGAAAACAGCATGGAGGTTCCTCAAAAAGTTGAAAATAGAGCTGCCCTACAACCCAGCAATCACACCAATGGGTATTTACCCTAAAGATACAAATGTAGTGATCCGAAGGGGTACATGCACCCAACTGTTCATAGCACAATAGCCAAATGCGCACAATAGCCAAACTATGAAAAGAACCTAGATGTCCATCAACAGATGAATGGATAAAGAAGATGTGGTATATGTATACAATGGAATACTATGCAGCCATCAAAATAAATGAAATCTTGCCATTTGCAATGATGTGGATGGAACTAGAGGGTATTATGCTGAGAGAAATAAGTCAATCAGAGAAAGACAACTATCACATGATCTCCCTGATATGAGGAATTTGAGAGGCAAAATGGGGGCTTGGAGGGTAGGGAAGGAAAAAATGAAGCAAGATTGGATTGGGAGGGAGACAAACTATAAGAGACTCTTAATCTCACAAAAAAACCCTGAGGGTTGCCAGGGGGAGGTGGGTATGGAGAGGGTATCTGGGTTATGACATTGGGGAGGGTATGTGCTATGGTGAGTGCTGTGAAGTGTGTAAGCCTGATGATTCACAGACCTGTACCCCTGAGAAAAATAATATATTATATGTTAATAAAAAAAATTCTGATTAGAAAAAAAAAGAAAAAGTGTCATCATCAAAAGAAAATCTTTGAATAAAAATTTCAAAGACATGAAATCTTATGATTTAGCAGATAAAGAATTCAAAGTAACTGTTTTGAAGAAACAATGAGCTACAAAGAAACATAGGAGACAATTCAATGAAATCAGGAAAAAAAAATACATGAACAAAATGAGAAATTTGACAATGAGATAGAAACCATAAAAAAGAACCAGACAGAATTCTAGAGCTGAAGAATTCAATGACTGAAATGAAAAATGCAAGAGAGAGAATCTGCAGCAGAGTAGGACAAATGGAAGACAAAATAAGTTACCTAGAAGAGAATGCTTTTCAAATAACCCAGTGCAGTGGGATTCATTCAAATGTACAAATACTAGCATAATCAGGGTTCCAGAAGGAGAAGAGAGGAGGAAGGGTCCAGAAAGTTTGTTTAACATATAATAGCAGAGAACATCCCCAAACTGAGGAAAGACTTTGACATCAAAGTTGACAAAGCTAATAGATCACCCTGTTACCGTAATGCAAAAAGACCTCAAAGCCACATTATAATGAAACTGTCAACCATCAAAGAAAAACAGTCCTAAATGTATCTAGAGAAAAAAAAAAATTATAACTTATAAAGGAGCCCCCACTAGGCTATCAGTGGATTTCTCAGCAGAAACCCTACAGGCCAGGAGAGAGTGGAATGACATAGTGAAAATGTGAAAAGAAAAATGAAAAGAAAAAATTACCAGCCAAGAACACTCTATATGGCAGTTATTCTTCAGATATGAAGGAGAAATAAAGACTTTCTCCATGAAACAAAAGCTGAAGGTATCCTGCCTTACAAGAAATGCTGAAAAGAGTTCATCAAGCTGAAGTGAAAAGATGCTAATTAGTGCCGTGAAAACATCTGAAAGTGTACAACTGTAAAGTGTACACTATAGTTAAGTATGCAGTCAGATTTAGAAAACTCTAAATGTGTAATAGAATGGTATGTTAACCACTAAACTATAGAATAAAGGTTAAAGGAAAATAGTACTAAAAGTAACAGTAACTGCTACAATCTGTTAATGACACAATGTATAAAAAGAGGTA